ATACAAATTCTTATTTTTAAAAAGAAAAAAAATCTTAGGTTTAAAACAAATGCCCATGCAGCTTTGTATGCGGAATGAAGTTACATGTACCAACAGGTCTACTTGTTTTTGTTTTGCCTGGGAATACAATGTTTTCAGCACATATAGGCCGTTGCACGTGCCCATGAAAGTGCCTCAGAAAAACATTTTTGTGGTATTATCTATAATTTAAAAAAATGCTTGAATTAACAGCTCAGGAGTAAAATTGAACCCCCAAAGAATTTTAAGATGAAAATAACAAATGTTTACACGAAATTTATCGTTTCAAGAATAGAATCTTACACTTAACAAGGTGCATACCATCTCCTGTATTTCTTATATTTTTTTGTTTTCTTGTACACTTATTTAAACCTCAACGTGGTGATATAATTGCAACATTAATTAAAACTTTATTGGAAGTACATGTGCATGTAGTTTATTTTGATGTTAGATTGTCTGAATTCCTGCAGTTAAAGTGGTAATTGCCATTGATTACCAGAACATTAATAATAAAAAATGATGAAGTTAGCATGATAGGTAACAAAACCAATGTACTTTCAATGAGCAGGACAGAGAATCAGAAATATTTACACAAAATTTACAAAGTATTATATAAGGTTATCATTTATTTCAAAAGAGATCCTGTAATACTAAATGGTGACAATAAAATGGCATTGATAACGGTTGCTTTGTCTTGCATGTTTTGTGTGTTTCTATTATTGTATTCACAAGGACAAATTTTGAAGCAGGTTCACTCTTTAAAGGTGCAGAATACCAACCTATAGTGAAAACAAATGAACATTTATCTAACATAAAACCTGCAGTATCACTGTGGGGAAATAGATTATGTATATATGTAGTACCTTTAAACGGAGTTCTAAACTGCTGCTTTAAGGCGAATCGTTGAAAGCGCGCACATCACCTCGGGTGCGGTAGTCGCCTTCCGCCAAACAAGAACTAGTTCTGGATCATCCTATAATGTTTGTGACCCTTATTTGATGTAAAATTCATTTTTTTGGTGATAACCCTATGTGAATTGAGTTAAGACAACAATTTTGTAATAAGACTTAGTTGAAATCAAGAGATAATGCCGATTTACTCGCATGGAAATGGCCCATGGATACATAAGTTAAGTAATACATGTAATACGGCCTCTTTCAGCGTCCCTAGAATGGCGTGAGGAAAAGGGCTCACGGTGAGAGACAATTTTATTGAATTTCTGCTTATAATGGTTTTCCGACACTCCTTGTGTTTGAAGGATAGCATCATATTGAACTGATATCATAGGTGTGGGTAAAGCTCAGGGGTTAGTTCAGAAAACAGCTGTAATTCTGCACTCGTGCCAGCCGGCCATGGCCATGCGATCTATTTGTGACTATCATCAGTGCGTACCGTGTACATTATACAAATATTGAATGCTTCGAGTGGTGTAGTAAAACTAGCCTCCCGAGGTGATCCATGGCCCATTCTATTTTCCCGAGGCGAAGCCGAGGGAAAATAGAATGGTCCATGGATCACCGAGGGAGGCTAGTTTTACTTCACCACGAGATAAAGCATTCAATATTTGTTTTATAACACTTCACCCACAGATTCTGCTTGATTTTAATATTTTACATTATTTAAATCTGAACACAGTTGAAATAAACTTGAATTTCAACACAAAATTGGTGGAAAATGTATTTCTCTCTTAAAAACTAACCCTTCACGAAATGTTTGAACCCAAGTCTGCGGCGCGCTCTCTTTGGAATAATACGCGCTACGCACAACGCGCAACGCGCACACCAGCATGCATTTGCACACAAATACCGCGTCGTGGAAATAGTACTTTGGTTGCTAATGGTATAGTACTTTGGTTGCTATGCGCATAGTACTTTTGGCCGTGCACAGAAAGATAGCAAAATTAGAAAGTAACATGTGACTCGCTCTCAGCCAATCAAGACATAGAATCTGTGGGTGAGGTGTTATAATTCTCATTAGGTGGGCTCGTGTTGTGTGCGCGCGTCTGTACGTGCACGTGCAATGTAGGATGGGTTGCCATATTATCGCGGTACTTATCACGTTTCTCGTTCGGAATAGAGATTCCCCACTAACCTTCCCGAATTGTCCTGTCTTGTGTGTAGTATAACTCTTCCTTTTCAAATTGATATAAAAAATTCCGACGGTGGTGTGGTTTATTCCGTGTACGATGCCTGTGAAAATAGACATGCTCGGAGTGTGCGAACGGAGGTGGACTCCCAGTATTATCGCGGTATGCGGGAAGTGGTTTTTATAATGATCTCAACTTTATTATTCATAGTTAATGTTTGACCAAAACACCCCCTGAATAAAGTCTGATATTTTCCCTGTAAGTTCAAGTTGATTAAAGACTATCTGCAGGATGATTCTAAGACCCTGCCCTTCTCCCGAAAGGAGAACACAACTCACTGAGGCAAGTCTACTGTTTGGCGATTGGGGGCGCCATTAACTTTACACGGTGTGCCGTTTTATTTTTGTTAACGCGCTGTGCTTATTTTGATCCCGTAAAAGTTTTTACGATTTCGCGGTGCAAATATCGTCCTTCGACTTCATTTTACATTTGCAGCTGAAGAATGGGAACCAGGCAATGGAACTTTCATGGACAGAGCACCATTAAAGATTTAAGTTAAAATATAGACGGTACCTTTAAGCAGACACGGTGAGGGAAAATTTGCAAGTTTTGGCAAACGTTATTATTTATTAAAAATCGTTAAAAGTCCCGAAAGACAGCATTTTTTAATCGTCCTTTTTATACAACTTGGCAAAAAGTCCTTGAATGACTGCTGAACTGGAAAAAATTGCCACTTGAAGGAGTTTTGGCAAGGCAAAAAGAGAAATTTCCCATGCCGCGATAATAGGGAGTCCGACTGACTTGTAAACAAGGGTTGTCATTTTGATTTTGGGTCAACTCGTACCCAGGTTAACTCGTACCCGAGTCAACTCGTACCCGGGTCAACTCGCACCCAGGTCAACTCGTACTCCCCTCCTTTTTTAGTTTGGAAGTACGGATGGATGGTTAACAAAACTTCCGATTTTACCCTCAAAAAACGGCGACTGAGAAATAGTAGTTACGCCGCCAGAAATACAAATAAAGTTCAAGGATTAGTTGAAGGCGGTGGTATCAATTTAGTATTTAAGACCTTTTTTTTTTTTAAAGAAAGCTGCTATTAAAAAAAAAAATTGTAATGTAAAAGTAATATTTTTCAACGTTCACTAACTCCTTTTTTGGCATCATTTATTGAATAAAAACTGCACATGGCACAAATCTCTTTGGGAAGATTGGGGGCTCTGAAAGTACAAATCTGAAGAGAAAATATATTACAGGAAACTTAAAAGAGTCACACGGACATCGTTATTTAATTTATAATGATTCTTTAATATGTTGGTCATTTTTTGTACAATTAGTTCGGTAAATGTCGTAAAAAAAACTTGTGCAGCTTAAATAAAGTTTCTGCGATAAGTTTGTAACCGGGGAGAGTGGAATTAGTTGGTTAAAAATGTGGCACTCTCCTTTTAACCGAGGGGTACCACTAAAAAATGATTTGGGTAGAGCGAATGTTTTCTGTTGTCTCACAAATATGAAATGGTTTATTTACAGTACAAATAGAGACAATATATATACAAATGATCAGGTACAGTATTTACAAAAAGAATTATAGGGATTATATGAACTTTGGGTATATCAACCGACTCTTTGTTAAGTATATAAAAACAGAACTTTGTTGGGTCTATAAAAACGACAGTCAAATAGGGAAATAGGCTAATGAAGTAGCTCCAAGGATATTATCTGAAATGCATAAAAACAATAAATGTCTAATGAATTATGGGAATTACTGTGGCATAAAATGACTGTTGCCCAAATGGAGAGTTATTTAAATGGCAATTATGCAAGAATATGAATATTTTATATACATGTAGTGTAATTTTAAATCCAAAAATAGAAATGAATTATTCACCAAGTTATGTTATAAAATGAAATAAGAATATAATACCATGCCCTAATAACAAATTCCCGAATGATCATAGCAATAGAAAACTGATAGTTTTGGGGAAATGGGAAAAGTCTATTTCAAAAGATAAATGAGAACGTAAATATTATGGCAACACTAAAATTTAAGTTGAAGTTAGCGTACATGTGTTGCTCAGAAGTTCAAATTTGTGTTTGTTTCAAAAGGAAAAATTGAAGTTCACAAAAATAAAGTACTTGATAACATTGTTTTCCGAAATGCCGAAAAATATTAAAATAGTAGGAGATTGTGTTTAAATAAATGGACGGTGTTTACCCGAAATGTTTAAAGTATAAAATAAAGTCAACAGAAAATCCTTTTTGCCATCTCATGCAAGAATTAAATAGAGACTCATTAAAATCATTCTCAAAAATACTTGCAAATCACGACGACAGATTTGTTTCAAAAGTTAATAATCAGTCGTGATTACAAGACAAATTTCCGGCCGTGTCCGTTTTGACGGCCTTAATTCCTGGCAATAAACAAACATACAAAAGACCAGAATGTTTCATACATGATGGCATAAAAAGATTCAGGCATAAAAATGTTTTAGGCATAAAAATGTTTTAGGCATAAAAATGTTAAATATCAGACAAAGGATTTACTCACCACTTGGGAGGATCTACGTTCATGCCTACTCCGTGTCCGATGTGAAAATCGACGATCAGCAGTGAAAATACAATGTAGATGTAAATATTTTACTGCTGTATAGGGAGCCTCTCTCAAAATTGTAATACAAGTGAAGAGTGTAAGCGCTCGTAAAAGATGGTCTGAATGCAACGATGTGTTGGATCGAAATCAACAATATTCCGCAGCAGGCCCTACAAGAAAACTATACCGAAACGCCCGGAATGTCAACTATTCCTCTTAAACAAAGCGCGGTGGAATGCAAAATTCGCATGCTCGCTACGCCCATCGCATAGTTGAGCAAAATTCTAGGCGGCGCGCGCTGTAAAAAAAAGTTTAGTTGGCCGCGAGAGGGCGCTAGGCAAAAAGCATGATCGCAATGGCTGCTCACATGTGAAACGACACAAACACGAAGTTACAAAAGTTATAAAATAATGCTGGAGTAAGGAACCAGTCGGGGAAAAGTAAGTACTGAAACCCGACCTGGTTACAAGTTCAACTAGAATATTATTTTGGTAACAGAAATGTAGGATTTTTAATTATTTGTTTACATTTGAGGCATCAAGGAAGTAAACACGATAAAGGAAAATGGTGGCTCGTTTCATTCAGAGATGCTCTTTGTATAAGTTTCGAGGACCAATTGGGTCCTACTAAAGCGCGTCAACAAGCGTCAACAAGCGTCAACAAGTGTTAGTAGTCGTTACGTGCGCGTCAACAAATTTTGTATAGGCCTTTGAACAATAAAAACAGCTTTATATGGTAGAAAAAGCAATAATGAACATCTTCTGCATATCAATTAAAGTTAAAATTACTTAAAAAGTGGTTTTCCAGCGCGAAATCTACGACGGGTTTTTCGGTTTAGTATTGGCCGCCATCTTGTTTGAGATCTACGTACTACGCATGCGTGGAGTGTACCATTCATGCATAGGGGTTTCTTTGTACGATACGCTTAGCGATACCTCGTTTGGTTTTTGCATTGTATGAAGCCCAGGAAGGGACAGGGTGGAATTTGTTTTTGGAGTTTGCTAATTCGTTCGCACGAATTAGTAATTCGTTCCCACGAATTAGTAATTCGTCCGCACGAATTATTAATTCGTGGGAACGAATTAGTAATTCGTTCCCACGAATTACTAATTCGTGCGAACGAATTACTAATTCGTTCCCACGAATTACTAATTCGTGCGAACGAATTACTTATTCGTGCGAACGAATAACTAATTCGTGCGAACGAATTACTAATTCGTGCGAACGAATTAGCAAACTCCAAAAAAAAATTCCACCCTGTCCCTTCCCGGGCTTCATACAATGCAAAAACCAAACAAGGTATCGCTAAGCGTATCGTATAAAGAAACCCCTATGCATGAATGGTACACTCCACGCATGCGTAGTATGTAGATCTCAAACCAGATGGCGGCCAATACTAAACCGAAAAACCCGTCGTAGATTTCGCGCTGGAAAACCACTTTTTAAGTAATTTTAACTTTAATTGATATGCAGAAGATGTTCATTATTGCTTTTTCTACCATATAAAGCTGTTTTTATTGTTCAAAGGCCTATACAAAATTTGTTGACGCGCACGTAACGACTACTAAAACTTGTTGACGCTTGTTGACGCGCTTTAGTAGGACCGGACCAATTTGTTAGTTGATCCTTGGGTGTGAAAGATTGTTTGACATTAGCAAATTGAAATTCAAGTGCAAGAGAAAGTTTTATTATCTTAAACAAAACTGAGCTAATCGGGTTTCGTCCTCGAAACTTGACATCCGATTCGATTCATCATGAACTGTGTGACAGACCATCCGATCGATCGGTTTGAGCAGCAGAAAATGGTTCATCGGAAAACCACAGGATCATCTGTAATATAAAAATAAAATAAATTGATAAAAGCATGCATACTTGGGCCGATGAGTGCGCGCACAGGCCCGGCAAAAACGATGTCACCTTGCACGGTACGTCCACGTTGACCGATGAGTGGCGCACACAGGCCCGGCAAAAACGATGTCACCGTGCACGGTACTACCACGTTGGCCGATGAGTGTGCGCGCACAGGCCCGGCAAAAACGATGTCACCGTGCACGGTACTACCACGTTGGCCGATGAGTGTGCGCGCACAGGCCCGGCAAAAACAATGTCACCGTGCACGGACGACCACGTGGACCGGCAAGTGCGCGCACGGGCCCGGCAAAAACGATGTCACCGTGCACGGACGACCACGTGGACCGGCAAGTGCGCGCACGGGCCCGGCAAAAACGATGTCACTGTGCACGGTACGACCACGTTGACCAGCCAGTGCGCGCACAGGCTCGGCACAAACGTATGAGGGGCCATCCATGTCATTGAAGCACCCTCTTTACTCGTCCATCGTCAATAAAAGTGGTTGCGCGCAACCAAACAACCAATCATGATTCAAGAATAGCAGTTGCGCGTAAGTTAAACTGGAGTACCTATTGAGGGCGCGCTGTGTCATGTGTGTTAGCGCTACCCGGGAAAAAATGGCCACTGTTCGCGGGGTACAACATGATCTTTCTCATTTTCTCGATTATTTAAAGACAAGATTTCGAAATATCTGTCGGATCGTAACAACAGGAGACGTTAGTCAGACATGGGTGGCTCAAGCAGTACAAAGGTTGGCAAAGAAGAGGATCCATTTTTGCAGCACACATGTTTAATTTTCATTGTGGGCTAGGCTCGACTTAGCCCAGACAGGGCTCTGGAGTGCTCTGAAACGTGCAAAACTAAATCAGGCACACTTTACTCACAGTTTAGCCAGCAAATTTCTCCAAAAATTCCACTGGGGCAAAGAAAATGTCCTCAGTATTTCACCAACCAAGTTTGCAGCCTCAATTCAATTTTAAAAGAAGACTTTTCTTCAGTATTGTGCACATGAGAGGGAAGTCAAGTGATTTCAAAATGGGGCTAAATACTAGCATGACTAGACTGGTACATGTCCAACCATGGTCCAACTATTTGAAAATACTGACCTCTTCATTCAGTGTCAATAGTCTGGTGGCTTGACTATGGAGAAATGTGTAGTAAATTGAGACTAGTTCCCGCTTCATGCCATATGTTTCTTAAATTCTTTTGGCATGGTTGATTGATGCAGTACTGAAGCTGTGTTGGACTGGTTGTTTTAGGTGCCAGTCTATTTTCTTGTTTTGTATGTTTTCAATACCTTAAGTTTTGGGACTCTCATACACAGTATTGAGAGTCCCAAATTTTCGGACTAGACTTAGCCCTGTTGTGCCCATTCTTGAAAATCACGCATTCTTAAGAATGTGCATGCACATTCTTAAGAATGTGCAACTGGATCCTTGCGCAATCTTCGCAAAAAATAACTCTTCCAGATTGAGCGCACATTCTTAAGAATGCGCGACAAGATAACGGTCTTGTCGATGCCGAGCACCGGCTGCGCTTGGCAAGTCTAGCTCAGTAGCTGCATCCTCGTTCACTGATTCTCAATAATTATACTGTTGCAACGCAAGGCGCTGAAAAGTAGAGTGGATATGATAAGTATCTATAGGCGTATTGATATTGGGGGGGGGGGGACCGTGAAAAAATAAGAGACATAATATTAATAATAGTAGAATTCTGATTTTTGGGATAATAAAAGCGGGGGGGGGGGGGGGGGGAACATAAGAATGAAGAATGTGAAGAATGAGAATGAATACTGCGACATCCCATAGTGCTAATGCTATTTCCCATTTAAATAGCCACCAATTTATTGTTCACACCCCACCATTACGTCGCAGAGCTGGATTCTATCTAGTCAAAAGAGCAATTTTGGCAGCTTCTGGACATCGTTTTTTTTTCGTGGCATGCATATGATACATACAGGGACTTGTAACTTGTCTAGCCTAAACAATGCACTTCCCAGACTAGTTCCCAGTCCTCGGTTATTACAAAACTTCCCATAGTGGGCAGAAAAAAGCAATGATAACAGGTTTAATTTGATTCAAAGTATCGTAGTTATAGGCCCTACGAGTACAGAAGCATAGAACATTTTCTTTCCTCTTTATATAAATTGTTTCCCTTTTAACCGCTATACATTTCATTTAACATAATTATGTCGTGCAATGTTTGTTAAGATTGGGCAAAATTCATAATTGTGCACGTGATATTCCCACCCAATCTTAAGAATGAGCGCTCATTCTTAAGAACGCGTGCTCGTTCTTAAGAATGGGCGCTCATTCTTAAGAATGCGCGCACATTCTTAAGATTGCGTGATTTTCAAGAATGGGCACAACAGCCCCACTCTACGCTATAAGTATAGCCCCATAAATGTGGCCTATTGACTGCCTCCGAATCATAGGCCACACATCCACATGTACAAAAACGTGTCGCACTTTGACAAATTTTGTTTTTTACATTTAGGCTTAGTTTGTAAGTTTTTTTTGCTTTAGTAGCATACTCACCCTCTAGGCTAATCAGAAAGTGCTGCCTTTTTCAAATGCTATTTTTCTTGAAATTTCCAGATTCATTTTCACACGTTCATGACGTTTGCGTAGACCCGTGAACGTCATGAACGTGGCGTTGTATAGTATACAACGCCACGCGCTTCCGTCGGGTAAATACAAGCGACAGCATTCTATCTTTTAATCCGCTACATATAACCATGAGTGTTGGATCTGGCATTGCCAAGAAATTTGATGTAAAGTACGGCACAATTTTGTACAACAATTTTTTTCAAAATGATCAGAAAATCAAAGACAGGCATGACACTCTGGTACCCCGAGTTTCGCATGCGCAAAACGGAAGAAGTATCACCAGTGGGTACCCGACTAACCATCTTACAAGGCAGGATGACCGTAATACCATGCAAAATTCTGCTAAATCCACTTCGAAAGTCTGCCAAATCACCCATATTGCTGTTCCATTGTGCAACTGCAAGGGTTTGTTTTAAGGATCTTTTATAAAATGAAGGTTTTTCAAACCAAATGTGCCATATTTCTTTCCAATCTTTTTCATTTTCCTTCATCTTCATAATTCTGCCGAAAAAAAGATTCTGCTGATTTTCTGTACAACTCATTTTTGTATGCAAATATTCTGTCAAATGTAGCCGAAATTCGGCTAAAATGGTCACTCAATTTTAGTAACCACGGATAACAATAGAGTGTTTTTATTATAGACTGAAGCGTGGCTATGTATATAGCCACGTTCACGGGTCTTACGTTTGCGTATCAAAATTTCAACATGAAATTTCACAAAGATTAGTCATCTGAAAAAGGCAGCACTTTCTGATTAGCCTATAAAGATGTAAAAAAGTAAAACTGCTGCAAACTGCTTACTGACTGGATGGACCTGAAATATATAAATCTTAAAATTAATGTGGCCTGACGTTGCGAACTTAGCAAGTTCTTCTTCAGAGGCTAAAACAGAAATGACAGAGGTACATACATTAACATGGGGTGCACACAAACATGCAGGGCTGAAAGAAGAAACACAAAAGGAGGATTAAGTGGGAAAGGTGTAGAAAGATGCAGGGGAGGGTGGATGAGAGAACAAAGAAACAAAGGGAGATGGCAAACCACAAGGGGTCTGGTGTGAACAGGGGAGGGACCAGAAAGGGGAAGGATCAAAGGTCACAGGGAGTGGGAACCGACAAAAGAGTGTGAGAGTGAAGGGATGATGGGGGGGGGGGGGGGGGGGGGGGGGGACAGTATGGAGGTGGAAAGGGATGAAAGATGGGGGAAGATGGGTAAACACAAACAAGGAAGACCAGATGGATTATCTGTAACAGAAGACAATGGAGGAAAAAAAGGATTAATCATTTCCAAGTTGGATGTTGAGACCATGTGGTTGAATAGTTCGAAGACGATTCATCCACACTTTCTCTCTGCTGAGGCGAACTGAGTCCTTGCAATGGCCAAGAGATTAAATGCCCTGCAAAATCATATCAGAAATGGAGTGGTTAGGCAGGTTGAAGTGATGACCAACAGGGGTGTCTAGTTTCTTGGTGTTGACCGTTGACCGGTGGGCATAGAAACGCTTCTTGAGCGTATTCTTAGTCTCACCTACATACTGCACTCCACAGACCCTGCAAGAAATGAGATATATGACAATAGTGGTGTTACAAGTGATGTTACCAATGGTTCTGTGGGTAGTGACAGAAGAGTGGCCAGAAAAGGAGTCAGACTCCTGGATATGAATCTGGCAGACAACGGTCTACGTACAACTATAAGAGACTCAACACAAATATATGCCGCAAAGTCCAATTTCTAAAAGTTACCACTAGTTTGCCTCACCTCTCCTGAGTCCCCAACAAAAGTTGTTAAAAATCACGCTAAATCAAGTACCTATGCCTAGCTCTACTTAGTGGTGCGCTGTACTATGGTACCTATCCATACCACTAATCATCTGTAGCAGTACGGTGTACGGATGGGTACCGTAATACAGCGCTCCACTTAGTAGAGCTACCAAGTACCATGCCTACTGTCTTCTTTACATCTCAAAAGTCAAGATGAAATAATGGTGCTACGATGATACTCCAGCTCATTTCATTGCAAGGTGACAAAATCCGTGAAATGTGACCAGTGTGACGATGTGATGATGACGTCGGTTAAAAGCATTTTGTGGTGTGCAGATCAGACAATGCAGCAAGGACTGTTTCATGACAATCAAAAATGTATACTGGGATTGCAATGCACATGTATGTGTGCATGTACATGTACGATGACCACACATGTAGTACAGTGTCCTTCCAATGTTTTTGAATGACAAACACACAGGAAACAAATTTTTGGGGCTCGAATTTATTGTTGAAAAAGTGACATCCGTGTACGGAATTATTTTCTTGATACAAGTTACAACGTTAATCTCAGTGAATAACTAGTAGGTTTATTTAGGTTTAGGCAGATAAGAAATTTCTTATTTTGTTTTTTTATCAACATGACAACATTTTTCTAAATTTTTATTGCCGGAGTCTAACTATCACGACTAATATAATAAGTATGTTACATGTAGATACATGCAAATACAATTTAACTTATGTCATGTTTTGCAGTGCTGAATCCCTGAAAAGGCAGGTCAACCGTGCCAGGTCAACCCTAATTACTGCCAATGAAGCGGATGAATTCATCACACATCTTGATGAGTTTCTTGAAGAAACCCGTAATCTTCTCCGCAATCCTCCAGGTACATGAAGAAATTTAAATGTTTGCATATTGGAAAGATACTAAGACCAAGTAGGTTGCAGTAGTACCATGTGGAAACTTTCTTTGTGAGATTGTTTGGCTCTCAAAACTAAAAATTTCCAGTTTTATCAGTGGTACGTTTCGGCCATAGTGAATAATCTTAATGGTGACGTCCTGTGCAAGTTGTATATGATGACTGCGTCATGCGCACGGTACGTAAATAAAAGATGACATAATAAGGAGTGTGTCACCTGTAATTGAAAATTGCAATTTAATTGTTGAAATACTATAATCGTGGGTCAATATCATTGGAAAGCTCAAAACAAATTCAATGGAAGAAAATTATCAATTCAATTTGGAAATTATTTTTCAAGGCGCCATTCACTGAAAGGACCAAGAAGTTGCAAAGAAGTTTTATTCCCGTTTATTTTTAATTGAAAGTGCAGTAAAAACCTTACACTTATTCACTGTAATTGACTATAAAATACCAATGAAAAATTAAGTCCCAAATTAGTTATAACTGATTTGACAAGAAAATCTGGTTACAGGATTACTGTTTCTTACATGACATTTTTTCCAAAAATCTTTTGTTGTTGTTGACAGCACCCTGTTCATATGCAGCACCTAAAGTGCTGACAGGTACGTCATCATCAAAGAGCAGTTAAGCTTCTTAACCCAAATTGGACTTCCAGCAACAACCATGGCGGAAGCATTGGGTGTGTCAGAAAGTACCATCAGAAGACGACTTAGGTAGGTTATCATCTTCATCAGTAACAGTCTTGACTCAGTCATGGAACACACAAAACCTTTGTTTGTCTCTGTCTGTCTGTCCGGACGTCTGTCTGTCAAGATGTCTGTCTGTCTGTTTGTTGGAGTGTTTGTTTGTTTGTTTGTGTGTGTGTGTATTCTTTCCGTAAGTGCTCAACACTCAAACACTCAGGGGATGTAAAATACAGGGCAAAACAGTGCACATAATTATGTAGGCACCAGTCTAGTTCTTTTTCTGGTCATTAGTTTGTGTAATTGTTGAGCATTCAAACATGTTTTGACACCGTCATTTTTATTTGAAATAATGGCTACATTAATACCGGTACATGTACATCAGTTGTGTGTTGTTGACGGGTCCCGAGGGTAAAACACAAAGCCGTTGCGGCTGGCCGAGACTGAGACCAAGACTGATACTTGCAATTTGGAGATTAAAACCAGCTCTTCTAGATGAGAACGAGACAGAGAGCAAGACATAAAACAAAGGTCTAGAGATGAGACAGACAATGCAAGTTTCAAGACCAAGACCAGGTCTAGAGACCCACAAAACTGATTATGAGTTTTAGATGACCCAAAAGACACTCATCATTTATCAGTCCCAATTACACTTACAGGTGCCTTTATCCTTATAATCTTTCAAGGGCGGATCCAGGGGGGGGGGGGGCCAAAGGGGGCCATGGCCCCCCCAAAACGAAACCAATTTTTAAATTTTTTTATGTGACATCGCAATAAAGGCAGGCAATGAGTACACCACCATCTTTTCCTCCCAAAAAACATTGGTTAAAGTGGTCAGAAATTGCCTCCCCGGTGTCATTCTCTCTCGAGCCTCCGCACGGGCCGTTCGGCTCTCTCTGTCTTCCGGGGCCGTCCCGGGCGGGCCCGCTCTTGCCCGCCCGGCGCCCTCGCCCTCTTACTCCCCTCGTTTCAATCCCGCGGTCCGCTGGGTCCCCCCGGGGAGGGGGCCCGCCTCGGTCCGCCGCCCGGCGGGCTGCTGCCCGCCGCCCGTTCCGCCGCCGGGGCTGCGGCTCGGCGCCCCGCCTGCTGCCGCCCGCCGCGGGAGTGCGGCGGGCGTGATCGGTGGTCCCGCCCGGCGGTCGAGGTGCGAGGGGGCCTGGGCTCCCCGACTCTCGTCCGCCCGCGCGGGCCGTCTGATTGCCATGGGTTCCGGGACCCGGCGGGATGTCGGGGCGGACCCGCCCCACGCGGGCGGGCATGATTAAACCATCAACTCTGAGTGATTTTCATTCCTGAAATATCTTTTGAGGATTATTTTTATAAAAAAGTATACTTTTAATGATAAATTCAGCTGTGAGATGTCCATCAGCACCTCAGAACCAAATCCACGGTACAAGAGAGCATCACAGCCAGCAATATCCTACATTAGAACATCCTAAATATGAACAAAATGAATGCTCTGTACGACTTTAGAATTTTGGATCATTATTAAGGGAATAAATGTGTGCTTCGGAGGTTTTTATCACTCTGTTTAAGACCACTTAGAGTCTGGGTGCTGATAATTACCCGAGCCGGAGGCGAGGGTAATTATCAGCACCCAGACTCTAAGTGGTCTTAAACAGAGTGATAAATACCGACGGAGCACATATTTATTCCCATTCATAAATACCTTTTTGGTAAGAAAAAATCATATAATTCGTTCAAAACATCCCGATTTTGTTCAACAAATTCACTTTATGCTTTTTGAAACATCCCTCTTGCAAAATAATGAAGTGTTCAGCTGGCGAGTAAGATGTAAACAACCCTTTTATGGAGATTGACGCGCGCGTATCATGTTCTGCGCGATGTCGCGCAGAACGCACCTGGCGCGTTGCGTTTTGAATTTAGAACTATAAAATTCTGACTCCCTGGTAGTGTTGCGCATGCCTACGTGAGGATTGTGAACGTTCAACCAATGAAACGATAAGAGGCACTGGATTTTTAGGAGTCCACATTTTATTGTGACACTGGAAAAGTGTTTAAGACCAGCTAGCCATGTCTTTATCATCCGTTTAAGACCGGCCACGTGACGGGCTCTCGACCAATAGGAATAGCTTAACTGTCTGAGGTATTTATGAATAATCTGTAAAAGGGCCACTGTCTCATACATGCTTGTTTGTAACTAAGTTCGGGGAAAGAACCATTAGTCGACTAGTGGTTGATTTGTGACGTACCTTACGCCTGCGCACTGATAGCCACGTGCGAACGTCTCTATAGTCAAACGCTGGTCAAAATGTCGTCGCAAAACTTCTGGATCCTGGCTCTCTGCTTGCGTTATGAATGCGCGCGGCTATTGGTTACCAGTGAAGCAACCAACCCCAGTAGGTTGGTTCCAAATAGTCGACTAGCGTAGTCAACCACCGTCGACTAGACAGAGTTTGAGCAAACGTTAGTTAACCATTGGTCAACTATAGTCCTTGGGCGAACTTAGCCCTTGTGAGCACAACTTAGATTTCTTTATAAACCATTGTATAAAAAAATGAGTTTCTGTTAGATGATAAATATTTTTAGTTTTTTTCTCTTTTTTTTGTCATGTACTCAGTGAGTTTGAAATAAAACTTGGCAGCTATTGTGACCTGAGTGATGATGCCCTGGATATGACTCTTAGAGAGGTGATTGGGCATAACAAGAATGTTGGCTCCGAGGGGGCCAGAGACAGGCTAAAGTCAAGAGGGATTAAAGTGCAGAGGCAGAGGGTCCGAGATGCCATGGAGAGGGTTGACCCAGCTGGAGTTGCACTTCGAGCCCTTCACCCGAGGCTTGAGAGAAGTGTATATAATGTTGCTGGGCCAAACTCACTATGGCATATTGATGGGAACCACAAACTTATCAGGTAACTATTTCTAGGGCTTTTATTTGAACACTTGGTCGGTGTGGATTTAAGTCATTTACACTGATTTTCCATTTCATAAACTTTTGGCTTCCTTGAATCCGACATAAATACATTTCTTTTGCTTTATAGCGGTACACCAGTACATCATGTCATACTTTTCCAAGGCCACAGGTGGTTTTTTTTTTTTTTTAAATCATTCGAAATTATAGATTAAAATTATACTATTGTTTGCCAATTTGGAGCAATTTTTTTCTGCTTCAAATGGTATTTATAAATAGTTAACCCGTTAAGGACGAGTTGTATATTACTGGCAACAAAGTGGCCTTTGTCAGCTACCATCTGTGGGGCGAATGCAGCACATTCCCCGCAAAAACACCGGTACCATGCATACCAGTGGGGATTAGTGGTTTGCTGCATTCTGCGGTTTTTCATCATTTGCCATGCAGTGTTGTAGTCGAGATCTGAAAGCTCGAGACCAAGACCGAGACCTGATGACCGAGACTTTAGGATCCAAAACCGAGACCGAGACCTTATGGGGGAGACCAAGACCGTGACCTTGAACTAATTAGCATATTTAATGATAAATTCATTAAATAACGACACAATGTAATTTTTTTTTTGAATCATGAAAGAATTCGAATGCCAATCGATACTGCTATCTATAAAAAATGTTTGTATTCATGCACGCGCATTGTTATACCCATATACCTTTTGAGAGTTTGCATCACTAAAAATGCGCTAACACGTATGTAACAGACTATTTGGTTTTACTTCTCCAAATCGATACTGCCATCCGTTGAAACTTTCAAGAGCCTATACAGATAAGGTCTGATCATATATTTATGGCTTGTTTGCTCAAGACTTTTGCTCTGAGATCGAGACCTAGACCGAGTGCTTTGAGTTGAGACCTTGAAATTGTCTAGACCTTTAAAAATTGGTCTTGAGACCGGTCTTGATACCAAGACCTGCGTCTAGACCTACAACACTGTTGCCGTGTTCCGACCTGAAGGGGTCAAAATTATGTATCAAGTGGTATTAAACAGTTAATATAAAACTGGTTGAAGTCAAATCTAAACTCTGCTTTTAACTCAATTTAACCAAGAAACCGGGATGCTCAAAAACCCACATACCCAAATGGACAGGGTGGACCTGAATGTGAATTGGCTGGTGTTAATGTCGGCTGGTGGTGGTCCTGAATGTGAATTGGCTGGTGTTAATGTCGGCTGGTGGTGGACCTGAATGTGAATTGGCTGGTGTTAATGTCGGCTGGTGGTGGACCTGAATGTGAATTGGCTGGTGTTAATGTCGGCTGGTGGTGGACCTGAATGTGGGATTGCCCATAAGGGAATTCAAAATATGGTCAATGCATAGTAATACAGTTCTCAGAAATGTTGAAGAACCGTTCCTTTTAAATTAGTTCAAATAGATATTTGATCAATTTGAGTGATATTTGATACTGAATGGCCTTTTCTTCAGTTTCACCAAATTTAGTCATCTGTTTTCTAACAACTGCGTTCCCCTCTGGCAACAAACCTTTAGTGCCTGACTTGTTTACCAGAAACAGATGCACATAATAGCCAAACAAATACATGCTTTGTTGCTTTTTAGAAATATTATATTTGCTGGTCTTAACATTTTGTGGAGGTGGATGTTGATACAGGATGTCATCTACTAATATGAAGACTTTGATGTATCCTTTCTTAAAAATCATGTTTTGCAAGTCTTAATACTGATAATGCAGCAGACTTACCGTAATTTCCTGCGGATAAGGCGCACGGCGGATAAGCCGCAGGTCCCTAAAATCACCCAAAAAAATTCAAACGCCAACAGATAAGGCGCACCGCCGCATAAGACGCATGTTTGACTGCACACAAAAGAACACCAGGCGTCACCCAGTGTCGGTATATCGCCACAAAGGGGCCATTGTGTTGCCTTAGAACGATCACACTATTCGGAGGATGAATTAAACCGTAACCACATTGGCTGGTCACATGAAGAGCCAGGAAGAAAAGACCAATGTAAATTGATACCCACCTTCATCCATTCAGCCAACGCGCGCTGTGCATACTTGCTTGCGGTTTTCGATCCTGGCCTTCCTTGGCCTTTTGATAATGCAGTGCGGCCCAATCAGCGGCAAGAAACGATGGTCCACGCGCTGTCTGAAGATATTGCAACACGCACGCTGGATCAGATTCGTAGACTTGCCCAGTCCCTCCGAGCCAGATGTTGCGCCCTCTACCGGCGACTAATACAAAAACTAGCGTCGCCTATATGTATATACCATACGAAAATAATCCCGTCACACCGGGGGAGACGTAACAAAAAAAATTTATTATATTTTTAAAAAATTGTTGTTATTTTTTTTTGTATTTAAAGTTCTTTTCCTTTATTTTAAACCTATAATTTGTTAATCACGTTCATAAGATATTTGTTTAATACATCGCTTCTCTTAGTGTTAGTTTTGTTTACAAGATCATTAAACTTATTTGATATCTTACTAATAAAATAAACGAAACAGACACATGAACCATCTCTTTTCTCGTTTGGTCGTCCTGATAAGGACGGTTTGTTTTGTTGGACTCTTCAAAGTTTATATGAAGCTATATGTCAGGTTGCTGGTGGAAAGAATACGCCGAATTTCATCCTTATCTTCAGGCTTGCAGAAAAAACCAACCGCACACCTTTGAGCAACACCAAAACGCGGTGAATGGAGGAACCTTGTTGACTTCGGTTTCAAAATGATGCCGATTGTCATGCTGACGGACAAGTTGGGGTGGTCGAATATTTTTGACAAAATCTTCGCTGAATCTCTCTTCAAGCTTGCCCTCTTGACGCCGTCGCCATCTACAACTGAAACTGCATAGCAGTCTCGAAGATTGTGCTTGTCTCGACGAAGTCTGTACTTTCCTCCAACGACTAAGCTATCTTTGCCATAATGTGGCATACCGACTGCAAGAACATTTTGAATTATCGTCTTCATTGTCGCTCTGTGTTATAAATCAAGCAACAGGAAATTATGTGTTTAAATACCATCGCCAGGGATCCAAAGGAGGATTCTACCAACAATTCTATTGTTTGCAGTGTAACCAATCAGGTGCATCCTCGCTGCTCCTTGCGTTGTGGTTGGTTTATGTTTATTAACCAATAAGGGGCATCCTCGGTGTTTATTGCGTTGTGGTTGGTCATTTTTTCCAACAAGACAAGCTTCCAGGATCCTCCAATTCTAAATAAAAAGGCCGGATATGAAAAGGTGGCTACCTTTTTTTCAAAAAGTTATCTTTGCTGTAAAGTACAAGTTAGTTAAGAAATGGCTTCACGAAGAGCGAGCTACACGGCTGAGTTCAAGCTTATAGCGGTTAAGTACGCCGAACAACACGGCAATCGGGCAGCTGGGCGGGAGCACGGCGTAGACGAATCCATGGTGCGAAAGTGGAGAAGGAGCAGAACGGCATTGGAAAAAACACCGCGGAACAAGAGGGCCAACCGTATCGGCATAACCAAGTTCCCTGACCTGGAGACTCAGTTGACACAGTTTGTCAAAGATCGGAGAAACGGTGGGAGGGCCGTAACCACTGTAATGATTAGACGGCAGGCCAGGCACTTTGCCAAGGAGCGGGGTTTGGTGGACTTTGTCGGTGGCCCGAGTTGGTGCCATCGCTTCATGAAACGGGCTGGTCTGTCCATCCGGACCCGCACTACCGTGGGGCAGAAAACTCCAGATGACTGGGAGGAGAAAATGACCAGCTTCAACCTCTTCACCGACCGCCATATCAAGCGACTTAATCTCAGCGATGACAAGATCATCAACATGGACGAGGTGCCGATGACTTTTGACGCCCCGATGACACGGACAGCAACCACCAAAGGTGACAAGACGGTCACCATCACAACAACTGGCCACGAAAAGACCAGTTTCACGGCGGTACTGGCCTGCACTGCAAGCGGGAAGAAGTTGAAACCGATGCTCATCTTCAAACGGATGACCCTCCCAAAGGAGAAGCTGCCATCCGGTGTTGTCATCATGTGCAACAAGAAAGGTAAGTTTATATTAATCCGAATTTATCATAATTCACAAGTGCAAATGAAACTCAAACTCACGTCCGTTGTATTATTGTTTTATTGCCAAAACATTGGCGCTTGAAACTCATTTTTGGATGACGAAATGCTTTATCTCCCGATCCCCAAAACAATCAGTTTTTATTAATGACAAGTTTATCGTCCGTTGTATTATTGTTTAATTGCCAAAACATTGGCGCTTGAAACTCATTTTTGGATGACGAAATGCTTTATCTCCCGATCCCCAAAACAATCGGTTTTTATTAATGACAAGTTTATCGTCCGTTGTATTATTGTTTTATTGCCAAAACATTGGCGCTTGAAACTCATTTTTGGATGACGAAGTGCTTTATCTCCCGATTTCCAAAACAATCAGTTTTTATTAATGACAAGTTTATCATTGTTATTATTTATTCTTTCCTTCTCTTTATTTTTTTCTTTATGCAGGGTGGATGAACACCGATGTCATGCAGCACTGGGTCGAGCGCTGCTTCAAGGCAAGACCAGCAGCGTTCTTCGACAAGAAGTCCCTTCTCGTCCTAGACTCCATGACGGCTCACAAAGACGAAGGTGTTCGGGATATCCTGAAGACGCAGCATGACACCATCTTGGCCGTCATTCCCGGCGGAATGACGAAGAAGCTGCAGCCACTGGACATCAGCGTCAACAAGGTCTTCAAGAGCCACATCCGGGAAGAGTGGGAGGAGTGGATGTCCCAAGGAATCCACTCCTACACTGAGACGGGGAGAATGCGATGGGCAACCTTCGCTGATGTCTGCGGTTGGGTCTTGCGGGCATGGGCTGCTGTTAAACCTTCCACTATCATCAACGGCTTCAGGAAGGCGAACATCATCCCAGGTGACGACATCGCGGAGGAAGAGACGGCCGATCGTCGGGCAACAGACCTCGACGACGAGTTGCTGGCTATGTTTCATAGCGACAGCGAGGATGACGACTTTGACGGCTTTCCAGACGTCTAGACAACCAAGAAAAACCAACCGGCTCTTTTCAGAGCCACCACATCATCAAAAAAGAGATTGATATCGTGCTGTCTGAATAAAGTAACAAATAAAATGTTCAAAGGGTCAAAAAAGGTTTCCCAAATCATAAGAAAAGTCCCAACAAATCCAGAAACATAAATCTTATCATAATATTATTCTAAATATATAAATTTCTTAAAACAAATCTCCTATTACCATATTTAAAATAAAAATCCTGACCTACTATTATAATAAGATAATACAAATTCCCATAATACTTTTTAAAACAAACGTCTAAAAAGAGGCAATTAATAAATAAACGATTTGAACGTTTAATGAAACAAACGAAAGTGCAACAAATAAACATTAGTACTTCAAATTATCCTAAGTCTAAAGCAGACTTTGAAGATATCCTGTACAAAAAACACCCTCAACGTTCACACAATAGAACTTGAGTGAATGCGATTTCCAAACGTTTAAGTAATTCTGATTGCAGCATTTTCAGAATAAGAAACGGCCACAAAGAAATACGTTTGTATGACGGCATTGTTGGAACGAAAGCACGATCACTAAGGGGGATCAACGCATTGCGGCATTGTTGGAATGAAAGCACGATCATGGGGGATCAACACATCGCGGCATTGTTGGAATGAAAATACGGTCACAATGTCTGGAGAGTTGAGTCTTGGCTGACCGCATTATTGATTGCGGCATTGAAAGAATTCTTCACACAAAGACCGTCACTTTGAACTCAAGCGACACCAGATAAGGCGCACCTGTAGATAAGGCGCAGCGATGTTTTTGTGGTCTAGAAAGTCAGATAAGACGCGTCTTATCCGCAGGAAATTACGGTATCTTTAGCAATAACCACTCTTTACTTTAACTAGTAATGTAATGTATATAAATGTATGATTTTAATTCTTAAAAAACCAGCAACTCTACACTCTTCCTCCCAAAATTACAAACAAAAACAGTAGTACAGGCAAACACCAGCATTCCTGTATATTAAAGGTATTTGTTGTCAGAAAACCCTGTTTACACTCTATTGCTGATAAGTTAAACTTAAAAAATGACATTTTTTTTATTTCAGATATCGCATAATTATTCATGGATGCATTGATGGCAGCTCCAGACTGTTAGTATTTCTCAAAGCCTCTTCAAACAACCTTGCTGCCACTGTTCTTGAGAATTTTGTAAAGGCTGCAGGAGAATATGGTGAGTTTGTTTTAGCGTTATTTGAATTCCCCTTTTTCAAATTAAAGTGCAAATTTGTGTCCCACGAAACAAGTGTAACAGATAAAAACTGTCATTGGAGAAAACTCAACTTGTTGCTCAAGCATGGACTTTTTGATGGCACCAATTGTAGGTTATTCCTCGTACATGTATGTCACTAATTTGGTTTTTAATTGAGGTGATGAAAAATTGCAGCATTTGTTGGCCAAGTAATGTTTAAAGTGTTGTATGGTTTACCTGCAGACGATATTTGTAATAAAGTTGCGCCAGTCCTTATATGTATTTTTTCCATAGATATGTAAGAGGTCACTTTTTCTATTTTATGTCATGGGCTCAAAATAGCCCAGATTGGACTCCGTCCGCTGTATACACACTGTATACTCACCAGACGGAGTCCAGAATATGAAGGGCTCAGAACAGGGTGAAAAAAAACTGCAATCACTATTTTAGATAATTTTACCTTAATTGTCAGTCAAGCCACTTTATGTCCTAGTAATGTGTTGTTACCTATGCATCCGAGGTTTAGGAATGCCTCAATTCATGTTGATTGACATTAATCAGGAAAATAAACTCAAACGCAACTTTAGATTAGTACATTTCTTTAGACTCTTTTCATCCATTGTCATCGATAGTGGGTACGCGTCCATGCTTCCTAGACATTTAGTGTGCACGCATGTTCCTGTGCTGCACGATGATCTTTTTTTGTTTTCAATCCTGGGATTTCCTAAAAGAAAACACCAGTAGGTAAAACCAAAGTGGAACCTAATTAAACATGCATGCTACTAGTAATAAAGTTTCATTTGTACTGCCCATCTGGCTCTCATGTTTGTGGGCACTGCATATTCACGCCATAGTTCATGAAGTTGCGTGTGTAAATGCAGTCACCCAGGAAGATGCTGCGTGTATGTCCGTATGTTCGGATGCACATGCACTTCTGACTAGAAACAGCTAACAAGTGCACATAAAACAATATAATGTAACGTTATGTCTGTCAGCATGACATATGGAACTCCTTAACTTTTTTGGCTGCATAAATCTGGGCTTTAAGATTATATGAGCGTGAAATAAGCTCTCAGATTAGAGAATTCACGTTCTAAACGTCAGTTGTAATGCAATGAAGACATCTGTCCAATCTGGGCTAGGCTCATTAGTGCCTCATGTCTTCAATTTATACATGTAGTTAATGAAAGACTCGACAAACTTTCTTGCAATCACCACTAAACGGGGAGCATAAATCCTCACCTAGTGCCATCCTAAAGATCATTCATTGCAAACAATCTCTGCCAAACTTTCAGAAATGCAAATGTGCTGAAATAGGTGAACCAGTCTTGCAAGTTGTGTATTTGTAAAGATACTGATTTGTAACTTGTGCTTTATGTGCTTTTTTGTTTACCTAATAAGGCATGCCATCGCGTGTGAGGATGGATCAGGGAGTGGAAAATGGAGATGTCTCCCTCATCATGGAGTTGATGCGTGGATTTGGAAGGGGAAGTGCCATCCGTGGAAGAAGTTGCCATAACCAGCGGATTGAGAGAGCCTGGGTCGATGTTTGGAATGGGGTGACCAATGTGTATCACACACTCTTTGCCTTCCTTGAATCAAGGCAACTTCTTGGTGCGTACAGTATCACTTATCAGTTGAGACCAGACCATGTCAAATTTGGACAGAGTTGCTGTAATAACTTGATCAATAACTTCACCACTCAAGTCCCACATGAGTCACATGATGGCTTATTAAACTCAGCTTGACTCCAGTCCCTCATCAAAAGACTCTGTCCAAGCAAAGATGAAATTAACATCAAACCTTTACGCTGCAAAATTTGTGTTGAAACAGTACAGCACAGCAGCATTTGAATTATCCGAAATGATTTTCTATAGTGCAGTTTGAATTTGATGGCCTATGCTTCTTAGAATTAGGTGAAACCGCTGATTTGATCTATTGTCTTTGTATAGTGTTTAAATATTTGTGACTCAATTAAGAGTCAACCTTCTTGATCTAACAACTCCACTCAACTCACTTTCTTAAACAACTCAACGTGGCTTGTAACAAAACTCAGTGACTCGTTACAACGCCGAGTCTCAAGTTTATCATATTGTTATGAATCTTGAACAACATGTTGTTCAGGTGAATCCATCTAACACATTCAGTTAAGTCTCCTTGCAGAGCATGAAGTAAATTCATCTCTAAATGAGTCCAACGTGGATGTCATTTTTTACCCCTCAGCCGAGAGGCTCGAGGGGTATTGTCATCGCCTAGGGCGTCCGTCCGTCCGGATGTATGTATGTCTGTCCGTCCGTCCGTCCGTCCGTCCGTCCGGGCAGCTTAGTTTCCGGATGATAACTTGAGTTAGAAATGTTGTTTGGGGTTGTAACTTCGGTAGGGGGTTGCCCTTGGGAGTAGGCAAGTTGGGATTGGTTTTGAGGTCAAAAGGTCAAAGGTCAAGGTCACCGTGGTGAGTTAAATGTAAATGGTTTCCGGATGATAACTTGAGTTAGAAATGAGATTTTGGTGTCTAACTTTGGTAGGGGGTTGCCCTTGGGAGTAGGCAAGTTGGGATTGGTTTTGGGGTCAAAAGGTCAAAGGTCAAGGTCACCGTGGTGAGTTAAATGTAAATGGTTTCCGGATGATAACTTGAGTTAGAAATGAGATTTTGGTGTCTAACTTTGGTAGGGGGTTGCCCTTGGGAGTAGGCAAGTTGGGATTGGTTTTGGGGTCAAAAAGTCAAAGGTCAAGGTCACCGTGGTGAGTTAAATGTAAATGGTTTCCGGATGATAACTTGAGTTAGAAATGAGATTTTGGTGTCTAACTTTGGTAGGGGGTTGCCCTTGGGAGTAGGCAAGTTGGGATTGGTTTTGAGGTCAAAAGGTCAAAGGTCAAGGTCACCGTGGTGAGTTAAATGTAAATGGTTTCCGGATGATAACTTGAGTTAGAAATGAGATTTTGGTGTCTAACTTTGGTAGGGGGTTGCCCTTGGGAGTAGGCAAGTTGGGATTGGTTTTGAGGTCAAAAGGTCAAAGGTCAAGGTCACCGTGGTGAGTTAAATGTAAATGGTTTCCGGATGATAACTTGAGTTAGAAGTGAGATTTTGGTGTCTAACTTTGGTAGGGGGTTGCCCTTGGGAGTAGGCAAGTTGGGATTGGGTTTGGGGTCAAAAGGTCAAAGGTCAAGGTCACCGTGGTGAGTTAAATGTAAATGGTTTCCGGATGATAACTTGAGTTAGAAATGAGATTTTGGTGTCTAACTTTGGTAGAGGGTTGCCCTTGGGAGTAGGCAAGTTGGGATTGGTTTTTGGGTCAAAAGGTCAAAGGTCAAGGTCACCATTGTGAGTTAAAGGTAAATGGTTTCCGGATGATAACTTGAGTTAGAAATGCAATTTTGGTGTCTAACTTTGGAAGAGGGTTCCCCTTGGGAGAAGGCAAGTTGGGATTGGTTTGGGGGTCAAAAGGTCAAAGGTCAAGGTCAGCATGGTGAGTTAAAGGTAAATGGTTTCCGGATGATAACTTGAGTTAGAAATGAGATTTTGGTGTCTGACTGAGGTAGGGGTTTGCCCTTGGGTACAGGCAAGTTGGGATTGGTTTTGGGGTCAAAAGGTCAAAGGTCAAGGTCACCGTGGTGAGTTCAATGTAAATGGTTCCGAATGATAACTTGAGTTAGAAATGAAATGTTGGTGTCTAACTTCGGTAGGGGGTTTCCCATTGGTACAGGCATGTTGGGACTGGTTCTGGGGTCAAAGGCCAAAGGTCAAGGTCACCACGTGAGTTAAAGGTTAATGGTTTCCGGATGATAACTTGACTCTGGCTGAGGGGTTTCAACAGCAACGCTGTTATTTTTTCATTTGTGTCTGTATGCATAGCTGCCAACTAGTACGATTTTTTCGTAATTATTACGAATTGTTTGTTAAATTACGAAAATACGATTTGCCTCTAAAACATTACGAATTTCCCATTTTCTACCTAACGAAAAAAAATACTTGTAAAGTATCGTTTTTGACCAAAAACTTCTGGCGAAATGTCGCGATAATGGATGGACTGGTGACAAGTCTAATAAGAATGCAGTCAAGCACCTGATAGACATCAATGCAGTGTGCGCAGTGGAGTACTTTAGGACCAGACTAAAAATATTTTTCAATGGTGTGTCATTTGTGTGCATCTCGTGGATGTGTGGTTGTGTGTACTGTATCATGTATGTGAGTACTTTTCAGTGACGATCGTGAGCACTTTCAGTCGCTTATTGCCCGAATGAGACCCATCAGTGCGAGATTTTAATCATGGAATTTAATAAGAGTATGGTTGGAATAATTGGTAATAGAGTTTGAACGGACAGAAAAGATAAATCAGCATGCGTTTGCAAGGTATGTTGGCGGGATATTTCTATTGAATACGGTGGCCCTAAATCATTGTGTGTAAAAACATGATACGAACTCGAAACTACACATCGATAGCATGCATCTCAAAAGAAATATGCGCACATGTTATTGTTGTTATTATTTATTTGACTTCAACAAACAAAAACAGACATTAAAACAAAATTAATTTAAAAAAACCTTTTTTTAATTTTTTTTTTTAAATTTTTTTTTTTTAATTTTTAATTTTTTTTTTAAATTAGAGTTTAATAGAGTTTGAACGGACAGAAAAGATAAATCAGCATGCGTTTGCAAAGTATGTTGGCGGGATATTTCTATTGAATACGGTGGCCCTAAATCATTGTGTGTAAAAACATGATACGAACTCGAAACTACACATCGATAGCATGCATCTCAAAAGAAATATGCGCACATGTTATTGTTGTTATTATTTATTTGACTTCAACAAACAAATACAGACATTAAAACAAAATTAATTTAAAAAAAACTTTTTTTAATTTTTTTTTTTTAATTTTTTTTTTTTAATTTTTAATTTTTTTTTTAAATTATCTTTTGGCCTACAGTACATTATTATTCACAACAAGAAGGGTATGCACTTGTATGTGTTCATGTAAACCATGTACCTGTACTCGATGTTGGTAAAGCTTTTGATAAAACGAGAAGTTGAAAATGACCGCGCGGGTTGATTACTAATTGGGATTTTGAAAAGTTGGCAGCTATGCGTATGTGCTGCTCAGTATATCTACAGTATACAGATCAATGCATTTATTTTACATGCACTCATAAACGTACATGTACATGAATCTTTTACATGTAGGCCCTGTACCTGCACCTATACTATACCCATCCATTGAGATGCCTCATTGTAGGAAATTCCAAAATAAGTCTTGCTAGTCTTGAAACCATGCTGTTTAAATGTTACTCTGCTTTCCGCTATCACATTTTTTTGAGGACTAATGGAAGTAATGGGCCATTTATGTCACATTTTTTTATTGTCAGTGTAGGTTTTGTTGAACACAAATTATTATGTCATGATGATGTTGTAACGTAGAAAAATGGATCACTAGAGAAAAAAACCTGGTTCCAATGATTATGTCGCGATTTAGCTTTTTAAACTGGGACAAAAAAAAGAAAGAAAAAGGAATCAAGGAAACGAAAATAGACTTCTCACAAAATTTAATTTAGTCTCAAAAAAATACTTCCAACAAACAAAAAAAACAATTTCTATCCTTAAGCGCAAAAACTAGTTTCCAGAAATACTTCAAGGCAAAAAATCTCAATCAGGATCAACAACGTATAAAACACTCAAAAGAATTTGCCAGGGATAAAAAAATTAACAATTTGATAAAAAAAACTAAGTTAAAATAATAAAACCCAAAGAAGAAAAAAAAGGAGAAACCCACACAGCACTAAAGGAAATGACTCTAAAAGCGGCTGGAGAAGGTACATCTTGGGACTCATGTGAAGGGGGAGCTTTGGTTGTCATCTCATGCTGCTTCACTTTCTTCAGGTGCTGCCTCATGTATTGCATGGTGTCGTTGTGCTGGCTGGGCCAAAAGTATCGCCCCCTCACTTGTTTCAGGACATGGCCGTATCCTCCTGTCTCCATGCTATTATGCAAACTGCACAGTACTCTGTCCCTTAAACTGCGGGGTAGTACTGGTACCAGTACAGAATTTCCCTTGCCTTCTCCTCTTCTGTACAAAAGTAAGCCACCTCCCACATCCAGGCGATCCCAGACATTCAGTAGTCGTTGTACCGATTTAGGTTGACGTGCCTTTGTACTCTGGCTGATCCTCATAGGATTTGACAGTTTAAGTTCCACCACTTTCCTGATGGCAGGATCTTGTTGCTGTCCTTGGCGCAGACGGTGACTGTGGCTACATCGGATGCCTCCAATACCCTGGCTTGACTGACCACTGGTAGGGGCAACGGTAGGGACTACTGGTTGTCTTCGATGGGGGACACGAGGGGCTTCTTTTGGAATCTTGGGCTCTGGTTCGTTGATGGAGACTGGGAACACGGGTACATCTGGAACGGGCTGAGGGATGGGGACTTCTGGAACTGGCCAGGACTGGTGCAGGGCACACTGCAGACTTTGAATGTAGTGCCTCTGTTGTTGCTGCTCACAGATAACTTGGCTGAGGACCGATTTCAATGTGTTTATTTGTTGAAACTGCTGTACGATCACTTGTTGCATGTGTGTTTGATGTTGCAGCAGCTGTAGGATGCTCAACTGCGGTTCAGCTAACGGCACTTGGTCGACGTGGTTAGAGCTGGTGGGCAGTGGGTCAAACCCACACAACTGAAGGATAGTCAGGACCTCCGTCATGGTGTTTTAGTCATCCTGCACTTCTCAAGTTCATTAACCAAAAAGCACTGTGTGGGTTTCGATTTAAAAAAAAAACTTTCAAAGAAGAAAAAAAATGTCCCAGCTAAAAAAACATCAATGGCTAAATTCCTAAAGAAAATTAATCATCCCGGGTTCCGGCACCAAAAATGTAACGTAGAAAAATGGATCACTAGAGAAAACAACCTGGTTCCAATGATTATGTCGCGATTTAGCTTTTTAAACTGGGACAAAAAAAAGAAAGAAAAAGGAATCAAGGAAACGAAAATAGACTTCTCACAAAATTTAATTTAGTCTCAAAAAAAAAACTTCCAACAAACAAAAAAAACAATTTCTATCCTTAAGCGCAAAAACTAGTTTCCAGAAATACTTCAAGGCAAAAAATCTCAATCAGGATCAACAACGTATAAAACACTCAAAAGAATTTGCCAGGGATAAAAAAATTAACAATTTGATAAAAAAAACTAAGTTAAAATAA